GGCGGCGGGCCGGGCCCGGGCCTAGGGGGAGGGGCAAACCTCGGAGGAAGCTCCCCGGGGGCGTTGACCCGCCCTGCGTGTGGACCCCCGCCCCTGCTGCGTGAGCGCCCCTCTGCTGCCTGAAATCACCCTCTGCTGCCGCAAGTCCTTGCTCCTCGCTCAGGCCCCTCTGCCCACGGAGCCCTCTCCTCCGTCTGCTAGCCCCTGTACGCCCAAACCCCCTCTTCTGCGTGGCGCCCGCCCCCTCGGCCGCCAGAACCCTTCCTCTGCCCCGAATGCCCCCTTTGCTGCCCTGCTCCCCCGCTGCATGAAGCCCTCTCTGCTGGTCCTTGACCGCTCTGCTCCGTTCACGGTTCCCCTCTCTGCTCCAGGGACGCCGGTGCTGTGCGGACCCCCTTCTCTGCTACCTGCACCCTCCACCGCCGCAGTGAAATTCGCCCATAGCACAAACGACCCCCCCCCCTTTTGTCTCGTCAACAGCCAAACCAGTGTTGCCCATTGATGTAGCGAACGGTCTGCAGCTGTCCCTGTCCTTTCGCGGACTTGGCAGCCAGAAAGGCGCTTGCCTTCCTGATTTATTTTTTGTGCTGTGGTCGACTGCTAACTCCCCAAATGGGGGGTTGTGAGCCTTGGTGAGGACGCCTCTCCGGAGGTCAGGCCTGCCTTCAGTACGGAGGTGATTTATTCAGGAGCCTTTTAGGAATAATCTGGACGCACCTCTGGAGGGAATCCGGCTGCTTACGGCCGTGGCCGCAGTACAGGTGCCGCCCTAAGCCGGCGGTCACTTCTGAAGTCATCTCTTGACTTCTCTACGCCAGCTCGCCGCCAGCTCCCTGCAACCCATCCTGAGGTTGAGCCCAGCCCACCTTTGCCCCCCAGAGTCTGTGGTAAAATGGCAAACCAGTGGGTTTTATAAACTACAGCGCAGATTTTGTTGCAGGGCACATCCGCGGCGTCAGACCTTCAAGTACTTTGTGCCAAATCATTACCACTTGCCACATGATTCTAAATAATGATGGATGCCAAGTATGTCCTCTGCCGATGGAAAAAGCGATTATGGCCTGCAAAGGTGACAGCCATTATTCTATAATTTAAGGAATTAGACATGACTTTCTGGTGACAAGTAAAATCTTTATCAGGAGACGCCTCGGCGTAGCTCCAGTGAAAGAATTGAGCCTGAACAGTTGGCGCTTGGATCTGTTGGCCCTGGCTCCCTGGCTCCCTTCCTCATTTAATGGGGTTTTGGTTGATTGCTTACAAGGTTACACTTCTGGAAGTGTCTTTCATAGTGAAAAAAACTTTTAAGAGCTATAAAAAGGCACGTAAGACTAGCTGGGAGCAGCTGGCACGGAGCCTGCACACAGTAAATACTGGCGGGTCTCGGGAGGCCCGGCAGGGCGGCGGGCGGCGTCTGTGCTTGGAGGCAGGACGCAGGTCCTCAGCTGGCCTCTTGTGCCTCAGTTGCTCACCTGTAAAGTCTTGGTATTAGGTAGAATATTTTGGAAGCCCCTGGATGTATACTTCAGAATTTTCTGCTCCTTTCGTGTTTCTCTGTTGCTGCTGCGGCTTTGCATTCACTTTTGTGACTTAATAAGGATTTTTTTTTTCCTCCCTGACATAGGTTTTGACCAGAACTGAGACATCAACAAAACATAAGAGAAAAAAGGAATTTTTTCTAAATGTTCAGATATTCTCCTTAGACAAAAAGTTAAGTGTTGTGTTCTTTTATTTTTTTCTCGGTGGGATTTTGATAAGTAAGCTGCCCTCTCCCCCTACCTCGGGGTGGGGTGGGGTGGGGAGGGGTGGGGAGGGTAGTGAAGGCCCTTCTTAAGCACTTATTGACAACTCTTTAGTTAATTTAACTAGTGCTTGAGAGGAAAACGGGTGAATTAGTTTTATGTCCTTTTGGGAATTGAAGAACTACATTAAGGCATTCTGAGTCCCCAGAGAGATCACGACTGAAAATTGAATAAATATGAATTATACAGAGATACACTTTCTGGGGTTCAGATAGGAAAATTTTCTTTGCAAGATTTATATCTTCTTTTTGGAAACTATGGCAAGCTCACCCATTGTGACATATTTGAGTCTGTGCCTGTCCTTCTAGTAAGAAATTTATTCAGAATTCATAAAGCAAATAACTGGCCAGGGTGTGTGGGTAGGGCATTCCTGTCTGCTCTTGCTTATCTAATCAGGGAAGGACATTCGAAAACGCCCAGCTCTTGCTTGCCTGTGCTCTGGGTTCGTCTAATGGAAGAATTCCCAGTTCTAAATAGAGAATAAAACTCAGTCCGGTCCAGTTACAAGTTCCTGGGCCCCAGCCTCTTTCTTCACAGCCGCCTCCTAAGCTGGCTTAGACTCCAGCTCACACTCTGCTCACACTTCCTGGGGGCTGCCAGGCTGCCGCGGTAATTGAATACTCCCTATTGAAAGGAAAGGCGTCCTTTTAAACTAAAACATACCTGCTGGGCTGTAAACAGCTTTTAGTGACATTATCATCTTCCCCTGAAAATCTAACAAAGGAGTTATTTGTGCAATTGAAAGTAGGATTTACCTCATAAAAGTCACCATTTGTATTCATTTTTACTCTCAAATCTCAAACCCTTTTCTGTCCTAAAAGAAAAAGAAGAAGCCTGCACACCCACCAGGGTCCTTGCTGCCGCTAACCTCAGGCGCTTGAATTCCTAGTTGACTGCGACTTTTGGCTTTAAATGGGAGGCTGAGAAGGAAGACAGTGAATTTAATTATCCTGTCATTTGAAGAAAAACACGTTTGAAAAGTCTTGGTGACATCGGTTGGTAGCTCATACGGGTTGTTTCTGTCCCTGCAGAATTAAGGTGAAGAGCACAGAAGTGGAGACCCTGAAGAAGTCCAGGATTGAAGACATTGCCTCTTTACTGGGTAGGAGCCTGTTTCTAGGCAGCCGTTGCTTCCCGCAAAAACTAACCCCGGGTACCCTTTTTCTCTTCATGCCTGAATGTAGGGAGAGGGATAGAAGGATCTATTTTTGCGAGCCTTTGTAGAATTTGCTAGTTTTGACTCCCAGGGTGGTGTGCAGCGAGTGTCCAGACCTGCCCATCACTCTTGCACCACACCAGGCTGCTTCCCTGGAGACGGGAGACGGGAGAGAGACTCGTCCTAAAAATTTGTTTTGGCTTCTTTTGCGCATTGTTAGTAGGACTGTGAAATGGTCCCATTGCTGGTCTGTGCTCTGGCCTGGGGCTGAGAAGCAGCTGCTGGGGCCCAGAGTGCAGAGCCGAAAAGCTGCTCAGAGGTCCCCACCCCTGGGCTTGTCATGGGTGCAAGGACTGCCTGGGTTTCCCCTTCGGGGACCGAGGACACGCCTGGGAAAAGTGGGCAGTGCACGTACCTGGTTGCCGTTCCACAAACCCAGACGTAACGGTGTTTATCTGTCTTCCACGTAAGAGTGCGCATTCCAAGTGCAAAGCACAGTCCGTCCTCTAAAAAGAGTGACCTCAGTTCCTTCCCACGATGTCTGCTCAGTAGACCCAGTTCCTGTGTTTCCGGAGGAACAGCTTTTGTCAGCGTCTCCGTGCCTTACCTGAGGCGCGTTGACCGTCGCCCTCCACAGCACACACCTCACCTCTGGTTCCGGCTGTGCGGGTGCTGGCCGTTGTAGTGGCTTTAATATCGTAGGTGTTGATGGAGGTGTTACGCCTGCTGCTGCAGTACTGTATCCGTTACCTTGTTGGAGTAAAGAGCTGTCTGTCAGGATGAACACAGAGAATAGTGGCAGTGAGGAGTCGGCCGGAATCTTGGCCCAGGATGCTCTTTTCTGGCTTAGCCGTGCACAAAAGCATGGACAGCTGAGCAGCCACAATGAGCCTTTTTGCCGGCTCGCCCGTGCCCTTGCCCCACCCAACACACCCAGTGACGAGTTCTTTATTATTTTATCTGGTGGCGTGGGTTTTCAGTGGCCCTGATTCAATTTGAAAGTGTAAGGCCTGGGGAGGATTTGCAGGAAGTCTGAATACATTCTGCTGGAAGAATTTATCTTTGTAACCTAATCAGGTTAAGGTCAGTAAATTTGTGTTTTGTTTTGTTTTAAATGAGGCCTGGCAGCCCTGCGTGAACAGCTGGTGTTTTGTACTTTGTCTCTGGTTTGGGAAGATGTAGGTGAGAAATGTTCGTTGGCCCTTTTGTACAAAAACCAGCGCTGAGAATCAGCCGGACAAGCTTTCCAGGCGCTGCTCCAGTCTGAGCGCTCGGCTTTGTTTGCTTTCTCCCTTTGCAGCCTCACAGGATGAGGTTCCTGCCGCGCCTGTGGAGGAGCTGACCTACAGGCGGTCACTTCGGGTGGCTCTGGATGTTTTGAATGAGAGAACCTGTTCACGTCAGGAAAGTTCTCCCAAGGAAGAAAGCGCTGCCCTGTCTCCCAGTGAGAAGCCCCCAGAGCTGGCCTCCTCGCCTTGTGAGCCAGACTCCTCAGCTCCTCTCCACGGAGATGGGGCGGGCAGCCTGGGGCTTGGGAGAAGAGAACACCAGCGACCTTTGGGACCGTCCGCTGGGGGAAGGGACCCCACGTGCAGAACGGATCGAGAAAAGGGGCGTGGGAAAAGCGGGATCCCGAGAGCCCTGCCTGTCTCTCCGGCTGAAGATGGGTCTCGGGATGGCAGTGGGTCGAGAACACACCGGAAAAACTGGACAGCCCCAAGTAAAAGGGGAAGAACTTCCGTGCAGGAGCCCGACTTGTGCCAGACCGGCCCTCCGCTGCCCGAGGGAGGTGGCAAGGCAGAGCGAGAGAGAAGGGCAGGCAGGTCTGCAGCCCCGCGCCAGCCTTCCAGGGCCGAGGCCGAGGACGGGGAGGAGGACTTGGGAAGCAAAGGCGAAGGCTTTGGCCTGGCTTTGCCGTCAGATGGCTCCACTGTGCCCATGGCCTGTCCAGAGGCCAGATGCCACCCAGCCAAGCGGCTGTGCCCGAATGGCAGACAGAGGCCGCGTAAGCCATTGAAGCTGAGGCCAGCAACGTTCCCCACGCAGGGGCCCACGGGACATCTGTCTGCTCACCACAACCCTGCAGATGGAAAAAACCCTAGCCTTCCGGACCCCAAGAAGGCGGGCGAAGGTAAAGAGTGTGGCTCACGCTGGGCGGCGCTGGGGCTGGGGCCCCATGGGGTCGCCGGGCGGAGCTGGAGAGGGGCTTCCTGATTCCTCTTTGTCTCTCTCCCACGGGGCTCTGGCTACTTCCCTTGCTCGCAGATACTTGGGATTTTATTTTTGTTTTGAAGTGGAGGTTGTGGAGCAGGGAGCCTGCGGCTGGGGGTGGGCAGCTGTGCACGCGGTGGGCACCGGCGCTGCATCTGCTCCCTGAGGGCGAGCTCACGCCCGCTGCCGAGAAGCCGCGAGGCACGCCTCACGCACTGGGCTTCCGAGTTCCTGTGCAGATCGGTCTTGTGTGGTGGCGGTCGTGCCCCGTGGATGTTTTCACGTGAACACTGACATCCCGCTTGCTTTTGGATGCTACTTCAGACATCGTGAACGCTGGGCCCTGACCCGTAACGTCCTCCTTGAGCCCCACTCCTTGGCGTGGCCTTGTCAGACTTCGGGGACCAGCCAGACCTCCTGGCCCACATCCTTGCTGCCTCGTGGTCCCCTCTCCCCGTACGTGCACCGTGAGGTGCAGGTTGGATCCGCGGAGGCGACGCAAAGAGGACTCAATCCAGAGTCCATGGCTAGGTCGTTCGATTGTCGGGCTGTGCTAGGGGAAAGGCCTGCCGGTTTCCTTGCACCACTCGTGTCTCCTGTAAATGTACCGACGTGCGCTGGTCTGAATGTGGCAGTGTGAGCGTCTCTGTGACCTGGGCTCGGTTCTTTTTTATGGATGAGGGTGTATCCTGAAGTGTGTTTCTGGGATGAGCCAGGCTCGACCATGACAGTCTGCCCTAACGTTGTCATCAGCAGGCCCTCAGTGCTCGGGAGAGTCAGCAGAGTCTAACTCCATTAATTCGATCCTGGAGGAAGATGAGGAAGATGAGGAGCCACCACGCATCCTTTTATATCATGGTAAGGAATGAGAAGAACAAGCTTGCTTTCAGTCAGTGGCCCCAGGGAGGTGCTGCTGGCACCCAGCCCGAAGGACCTGCGTGCGACTTCCTTGTGCTGGGCCACGACTGGGAAAGCCCACGAGTGCCCACCTGTGGCCCTGTCTAGAGTGCAGCGCGGAGGGATGGCCCTGGCCAGCCCCTTGAACCAGAGACATCAAAGGTGACTAGGTGGGTCAGTTGCAGTCGTGGGGTGTGGCCTTCCCGCTCAGGCTAGGCCGCGCGGCTTTCAGTCGCCAGTGTTTGCTGTCCTGTCCGGAGAGGCGGGCACAGGCGCCGTCTGCTGCAGAGCAGAGCCGATGGCATGTGTGGCGGGACCAGAAATAGAGACCAGAGTTCCCACCACCACCGAATAGGAAGTTGGTTTGCTTCAAAACCAGCTAGAACCATTATCATTTTAAACTCCCCCTCTCCTCCTAGGGTCGTGTTGTCGCCCAGCTCTTGCCACAGTCACGGATGCTTTGTGCTTCGGCGTCAGGTCCCTTGAGGCTTGCATTTTCCCTTTTTAGCTCAGCGGTAACTCGGATGTTTATTACGTCCCCACATGTTGTTGTGTGTATTTACTAGGCTCGAGGACTGACCCCCGACCACCCTCCTCTGCCCGTTGGGTCCGAGCGTTCCCACTCATAAGCGCTCCCACCGTGTGGGAGCTTCCTGAGTAAGCCAGAGCAGGGCTCAGCTGGCCCAGAGGGATCGGCCTTCTTCCGAGGGGGCACATTTGTTTGCCCCCTAACTGCCAGCCGGGGCTCAGGCCACCATTGCCCCCGAAAACCGGGCGTTGCTCTTTTCTGTGGTTTTGCTCCCATTTGGTTTTATTTTCACCTGTAGCGGGGTGTGGGGTGGGGGGTGTCTCTCTAGGTGTTTTCAGTCAGTCCCTGAGGTGGCCGTTGGCACTCAGGACCTGTTTGTCCTTGTGGGACGCTTGCAGAGGCGACTGCTCCCCGTGGAGAGGCCTCAAGCCCGCGCTGGCCTGCCTCTGTGCTGCGCCCCTGCCTTGCTGTCACTGTCTGGCCCTTACCTGTCCGCTCAGATGCTGCGGCTCCCTTTCTCTGCAGGGGTCTTTATGACTAGGGACAGGCTAGTGAGTCCTGTCCTGTGAGTTTTGTTACCTGGTTTTTAAAAATTCGCGCTATTTACTTAGCTGGAGTATTTTTGGTTGAAAATACAGTTTTGCCCAGGTAATTTTGGAGTTAAAATTCTCTTCCTTTTAAGAGACCATTTTCTCCTCCAGCTCAGGTTTTTAACAATGAAGTTCTCATGCTTTGTGTGCCACTGTCTCCTCTTTTTGTACCACACCATTTCAAAAGGTCTTATTTTGGAATAATCTGAGATTTCCAGAGCACTTACAAAAGTGGCAGAGTCCTGCCCACCCACTCCCCTCTGACACCCCTCCAGGACACCGCACAGGGTCTCAAGTAAGAAGCCTGCCTGTGCCCGCCCTCAGCCCCGCCCCACACAGGGGAGATGGCACTTGCATGCCAGTGAGGGGGATGAGTCCACTCCGAATTCTCTGAGCTTGTAAAAGTGGACTGTGTTAGCCCAGGTGGAAACAGTTTCACAGTAATTGTGTTGTTTCAGGCTGTGGATTTGGTGTGTGATGTGGATCTGACTTGTCTGTTCTATCTTTTTGTTTCTCTTTTTTTTCTTTCTTTTTTAATTCTAGAACCACGTTCGTTTGAAGTAGGAATGCTAGTCTGGCTTAAATACCAAAAATACCCCTTCTGGCCAGCGGTGGTAAGAGCGACCCTCGTCCCCTGAGAGCAGTTAGTCCACCCGGGTTACGCCTCAGGCCCCAGCCCAGTGACCTTGGGCAGGCGTTCTCACTAGTCATGGTTACTGGGAGAAGCAATGACATTCAGAAGCAGGGTTTCTGGAGACATGTTCCGTACACAAAGGGAACGGAATCATGTTGGCACAATCGAGTATGAGGTTTATCGGTCACATTTTTACTTACGAAGGCTTAGAAAGAGCCACCTGGAATAAAGTTCTCTGCTCACTTTAAATACTGTGCACTGCAGACTTTTTCCCCGTTGGAGCTTTCTCATTTTTTACATTTTATGGTAGAGAACAATTGTGCATGCAAAAACAGGCACTTGAAACCCTGCCCGAGCCCACTGTGGAGGACGAGTCTAAGTGCAGCTCAGTTGTGTTTCCCCTGTTTGCCGGTAAGTGGCACCTTGCGGGCAGGGCAGCCATCCAGCCCCTTCGCTCGCTGACCCCTTCTCCCTCAGGCACAGGACGCTGAGGGGTCCAGCTGCAGCTCTTTAATTTTTATTAAGAGACAATGATGTTTAAGCCCAGCAGGTATTCTGGAGAGGCCAGAGAAGCTTTTGTTATCTCCAGTCTGCTGTCGTCAGAGTCTGCTTGGCCTCTGTTAGCACTGCACGGGAATCGTGTAGGAGGCCTGACAGACGGGGCTGAGGGCTTCCTCGCGGCTCTGGGCTCAGTGTGGGCCCTGCTGGTCACCACTTGACAGGTTCTGGGGGTGGAGAAACCCGAATCGACCTTCCCAGCCAGCTGCTGGTTTACACCATACTGCAGAACAGGAGTCCAGGCCATTTTCAGGACCTGGGGCTCCGAGCGGGGGTTAAGTTAGTTCACTTGGGTCATCCAGAAAGACGAACCATCAGGGAACCAGCTACAGCCAGTATATGGAGAGCCCGCACCAGCACGTGTGGTTGCTCCCTAAACACCAAGCTAATGGAAGCCTGCGGAATTCCTCCGTAGAGTGAAGCCCAGGGCCAGGTGGTGGCGTCCTGGGCGCATGGCTGCTGCCAGCCTTGCCTTGTGGTGTGCCAGTGGTCCACCTTGCCCTCGGTGAGATGATTTCAACTGAGTCTTCACAGCCCTGGACCTCGCTTCGGCTCCTCATGTGTTCTTTCCTGGATTTGCCAACAGGTTAAAAGCATCAGGCGAAGAGATAAGAAAGCGAGTGTGCTTTTTATCGAAGGGAACATGAATCCGAAAGGGAGAGGGTAAAACATTGTTGTTTGCTTTTCACGAACAGTCCAGGTGAAAGCTAGAAGGCTCTGGGGTGGCAGAGTGGGGGTTGGGGGCAGGGTGAGGCCCTAGGGGGCCGGGGCCTTCGGTGATCGGGTTCCCCAGCAGAGGGTCAGAGACCGAGAGCTCATCAGACAGTTCGTTTCAGGGCGGTGCTGGCGGCAGAAGGTAGCCAGCCCAGCCTCTTGGTGTGGTCTCCCCTCCTGTCGCCCCACAAACGCAGCAGAGCAGTGACGGTGGGGCCGCGAAGGCAGCAACGGCCGCAGTGCGAGTTTGGCCTTGGGTGGGTGGGCTGCCGGGTCTGCCATCTGGCGTCGTGGGGTGCCGATGTGCGACGAACCAGCTGCGCGGCGCGCACACGGCCGAGCGGCACGGTGCGGTGCCACCCCTTCCTGCTGCTGGCTGCGCCCAGAGGGTGCAGGGCCTGGCGCAGGGACCTTCCCCAGGCAGCTGGACCGAGCAGCAGCCCCCATATACAGGCCAGGCCCCCCCAGTGTGTTAGCGGAGGGAAAGCTTTTTATGTCCCGAGCGTGAGTTCATCAGTGCTAACCTTTGCCTCTGTCAGCATCACCGTGTCTCTGAGAAGATTAAAGCATTTCGACTGCAAAGAGAAACAAGCGCTTCTGGTAGGTGGAGCCCTGTCTGTGTCGGGAGCGCGGCGTGTGGGTGAGTGACGGCGAGGGCCGTTGCCCTGAGTTCTCGTGCCGCCGGGGGCTGTTTGCCTGAGTGCGGTGAGGAGACCGGGGCCAGGGCTGTGTGTGAGGTGGCAGCGCGTGAACATCGCGGGCCCCGGGTGTGTGGGATGTCCCTGACGGTGTTAGCAGGAATCCTGGGCTGTCTTCACTGTCCCTGTGGCTGTGCCCCCTTTTCTATGCACAGGAGCTGGTCCCTTCAAAGATGCTGACTGGGAAATACTACTCTTTGGTGTTACAGCAATAAGAATGTGGGTAGGGTGTCAGCCACCGGGGCACTCGCCACGGCATTGGCTCAGGGTGGGCCATCTCGTTGAGGCCTGATATTGGGGCGCTGTCTGTGCCCGGATTGAGGGTGGGATGTAGACCCAGAGGCTGCAGGGGACAGTGCAGCTTTCTAAGGTCAGAGAGTGGACTTGGGATTGTAGCGGGGTATTTTTGACTTGAGTGTTGAACTCTGGAAGGTTGTTGATTGGAGTCCCTGGCTGAGCCTCTTCACATCTGTCTGACTTTATTCCCTGCAACTCCAGCCCGTATCTGTCCCAGACGCTCAGGCTCTAAGACGCACAGCAGGACCCTGTTCTACACGGTCCTCCCCAGGCCGCTGCAGCCCTGAGTGCAGGCCCACACGTTCTCGGGGGCTGAGTGCTCCCCACCTGCTTCCTCAGAACCTGGGTTACGAGGAGAGGCACGTGGGCCTCACACGACCCAGATGCCTGAGGCTGTCGCGGCGTCTTCTGCCCCGGGCCTGCCTGTGAGGGCATTGCCCCGTGGGGCACCAGTGGCTCAGCTCAGGGTCGCTGTGAGCTCCCATTTTCTGGTGCCTCTGTGGCCTTCAGCGTGCCGTTCTGAGACGCTGTCGCCAGGGTCTTCTACACTAGCCCATGCTCCCATCGCTGAGCACAGGCGCGGCCGAGGCCGGGCAGGCTGGGCCGGGCAGGCTGGGCCGGGCAGGCTGGGCCGGGCATGGAGCAGTCGTCTCTGCTGCTGCTGTGCCTGTGAGTGCCCCTAGGACTCACTCGGCTCGTGGTACTCCCCCTGCTTAGAGTTTGGGGGTGCAGACTAGGGCCTGAGTGGACCTGCCCTGGTGTCCAGGTGCCCTCTGTGCCCACTCTGCCCGGGCTAGGTTGTTGGCAAAGACCGCCTGGGGTTACTCGCCCGCAGATGGCATGTCTTACCCCTTGGGGTATCCCGCTTCCCTGCTTGGGTCCACAGAGTGGTCAGTGGCCATTTCCTGAGCAGCACAGCGCTGTCCTGGGCCTCTGTACATTTCCACCCAACCCTTGGGGTTCCCTTTATGAACAAGAAGCAGGAGGCGGCAGGAATGTGGTAGAAGCCCCAGTGATGGGCTAATTCCCACTGCCTGGGTTTCACAGAATGAAGCCAAGGAAGCCTTCGACCAGGCCATCGGCTGGTGCATCTCCCTGATCACTGACTACAGGGTACGGCTAGGTATGTGGCGCTTCTGCTGCCGATAGCAGCAGGCCTGGCATCTGTGCAGTGACCGGGCCCAGGACCATGTTTGGGGTGGTCAAAAGGCTTGGGTGGGGACAGTGGGCACCTTTGGTGGGGGTCTGACCTGCCTCCAGAAAAAGCTTCTGGAGCAAAGGCAGGTGGGCAGGCTCCTGGGCAGAGCCCAAACCCGGGGTCTGAGCAGCAGGTGGATTTCCTGTGACCCCAGCTGGTATTCTGCCCATCCCAGTCTGGCCTGTGGAGCCTTTCGACTGCGGCATCATTAGTAAAAATGCCCTGGACTTCCAGGTGCCCCTGGTATCACCTTGCAGTGCTGGTGGGCTGACCACCCATGTCCCACGGACCTGCCACAGGGGGGTCTGTGGGGACTTTCTGGGCCTCTCCTGTGCCCCCTCTAAAGTTTGACTTTCCTCCTTTGTAGGCTGCGGCTCCTTCTCTGGCTCTTTCCTGGAGTACTATGCTGCTGACATCAGTAAGCCTGCTGGCACCTCTCTAGAGGTGCCCTCGACGTGGTCCTTCAGAAGGCAGCTGCTTTGTGCCCCGCGCCCTCGCTGAGTTGCCGCCAGCAAACCCAGCCGCGCAGCTCCCTGGGATGCTGTTAGGCACCGCAGGCCTCCCTTGCCCTGGGGCCTGGTGGTCGTGCCAGTCCGCAGATGTCTCTATCGGTGCCAGTATGTCAGGTGGCTGCCTGAGCACGGAAACGTCCCACTACTTGTCATCTCTTGGTGTTCTGTGTTCTCTTGGCCACTGAGAGTGGGACTAGGAACAGGGGCTTGGCTCTTTTAGATGAAGCCTGGCTGGAGGGCAGAGCTGGGCAGAGAGATGGTCCTGGCAAAGCAGCAGCCCTTTAGGAGGGTGGCGGTGTTTCCTTGCGGGTCTCAGGCTTTCTTGTGTCCCCGGCACTGAAGCCACTCTGCCACGCCTCAGCGTCCTGCAGATCATCAAGGGCCAGCAACGCGGGAGGGAGGGAGGCAGCAGGGACCCCTAACCAGAGGAGCACCCCACGCGTGCGTTTTCTTGCGGCAGGTAATCCCGTCCGCAAGTCCATCCAGCGCGATGTTTTGGGGACCAGGTTCCCTCAGCTGAGCACAGAGGACCCAGAGGAGCCAGCGGAGGGGAGCCCCTGGGGCAGGCGGCAGCCCTGCCGAAAAGTCCTGCCCGATCGGTCTCGAGCAGCGCGAGACCGGGCCAACCAGAAGCTGGTGGAGTACATCGTGAAGAACAGGGGTGCCGAGAGCCACCTGTGCGCCATTCTCAAGAACCGGAAGCCATCCCGGTGGCTGAAGACCTTTCTGAACTCTGGTCAGTACGTGACCTGCGTGGAGACCTACCTGGAGGATGAGGAACAGCTGGACCTGGTGGTAAAGTACCTGCAAGGGATCTACCGGGAGATGGGCAGCAGACTGCTGACACGGGTCAACGGTGACGGGATCCGCTTCATCCTGGACGTCCTTCTGCCCGAGGTGAGTGGCTGGTGGAGGGTCTGTCCACACCGCAGGTGGTGGGCCAGGCCCTGCGGGTGGTCAGCCCAGGTGGTGAGCGCTGCCTGCTTCACTGTGTGGCTCTTCCTGACGGAGAGCCTTGGGAAGAGGGTGTCTCACCTTTTCTCAGCGCTGTTCAGTGGGGCTCGGAGTAGGTGAGCATCCGACATCGCATCAAGTTATTTTGAGGTTCAGAGAGGGCACACAGTGGGGCCGTGCAGGTGCAGAGAAAGAACATGATCAAACTCAAAATTTTTGAAGTTTATATCGTGGGAAATTTTAGCTACATCCGAAATTAGAATAGCCTAGTGAATCCCTTTGCGCCTCTGCCCAAGCAGAATGTAATCTCACTGCGAAGCTCCGGAGGTGTGTTGAGACTTAACGCCTTGCACCGCCGGACATTTTTTATCCATCATTACATTTGTGTTTATGTCTCAGGGATGACCATGTCTCCAGAGGACATTAGGTCACATCTGGCCACATCTGGCTGGCAGTGGGGTTGTTCCTGGTGTCTCATGTGTAGGAGCTCGGAGTGCTGCTTAGCCACACAGTGCCCGAGATGGCTCCCAACAGAATTTTCTTCTCATTTTCTCTCAGCCTTTAGGACTGCAAATTCTCATAGGTCTTTCCCTATGTCTGCAGCACTGGGTTTGAGGAAAACTCTGAGCTAAATCCTAAGATTCTTTTTTTTTTTATATCTGTTATTTATGCCTACAAGAACTGGGGTACAGGCCAGAGGTGCGGAGGGGTGAGAGGATTCACCAGAGGCAGAGTGGGGAGCAGAACAGGCAGATCTACTGAAATCCACTGCTGAGGGAAGCAGGCGGGAGACAGGAGAGGTCTGCTGCGCCCTGGGGGTCACTCCCTGGCCGGGGATGGCCCTCATGCCGCAGACAGCCTCACAGTGCTGAGACTTAACCCCTTGCACCACCAGGGAGGCCTTCATTAAGATTCTTTAAAAAAACTTTTTTAAACAAAACCACAATCCTAGTACTTCACTGAAAAAATTAAGGTGATATCAGACATCTGTTGCACATTCAGATGATCTCTATTGTATCTTTACTTTTTTTCACTGCAGACTTATTTTTAAAAATACACTTGCTGGTTTGGGGTCCTGCTTCTCATTTTCTTGCAGCTTTTAGGGCTGAAAATTCTCAACTGTAGCCCAAAAGATAACATTACCAATTTAATTAAACTTCACTCGAAGCAGCAGTTTCGCGATTATGCACATACTTTTTGGACCATAACCCGGGTGTGTGTGGAGCTGACCCGTGTGAACGTGGATGTCGTGCTGCGTTGCTTGAGCTGTGCCCACCGCTGCGTCTCTGCCCCTTGCAGGCCATCATCTGCGCGATTTCTGCTGTGGACGCAGTGGACTACCAGACAGCTGAGCAGAAGTACATCAAGGGGCCCTCCGTCAGCTACCGGTACGCTGCTCGCACGCGCTGGCCTCGTGTCTGTCTTCAGAGGCAGTTATTTGCATACACACTGGTAGTCCTGACTGATCTGACCGCGGATCCTCCCGTAGTATAAGACCCTTGTCGGTCAGGGAGCTGCGTAGCCCTGAAGCGGCGTGTGCCGGCCCGGGCGGAGGAGCCTCACTGGGGCCAGTGGAGCCGCCAGTGGCTCCCGTGCGCTGACATGTGGGCAGAGCTGTCTCCAGGACCAGGGGCTGGCCCTTGCGTGTACGCTGGGCCTGCCACGCCCGACCTCCTGGGGTGGGGCTGAGCATTTAGGACTCAGCCTTTGTTCCCTCGTGCTGCAGCCCCGTCTGCCTGATGGCAGCAAGATTAAGAGGCAGCAACACTCGCACACCTCCTTGCTGGTCAGAGGGGGGCTGTGATCAAGATGTCACTTTTGCTCGAGCATTTAGCTGCCCTTGCATCTCTGGCCCCCGGAGGCTCTAATTCTGTCTCTGGGCATGCTGCCAGGCCGCACCAGGAGCAGGCCAGCCCACAGAGTAATGACAGAGTTAAAGATTCAGCTGGAGGCACAGGCCAGGGTCTCTGTTCAGAGCTGACTGGGTGGACTGTCACAGCATATGGGGCCAGGTTGTTCCTGGGGCACCTGGGTGTGTGCCAGGCTCAGTGGACAGGAAGTCCACAGCTGCCCACAGAAGGCCACCCTGGTTCTGTGTGCAGGATATTGACTCAGCTAAACTGACAGAGCGGGAGGGCCTTTGGAAACAGAAACATGGTATTTTTGTCACTGGATCTTAGCGATCTAGTCTAGCACCCTATTTTTCTGCATAGAAGAACTAGGGTATAGGCCAGAGGCAGTGGGTGTAAGAGAGGACCCACCAGAGACAGGTGGGGGAGCAGAACAGACATATGTTGCTGAGGGAGCAGCGGGCAAAACAGGAGAGATCTGTCACCCCTACGGGTAACTCCCTGACTGGGGGTCGAATGCTGGCTGGGTGCTGAGACTCAGTCCCCAGGCCACAAGGGAGGCCTTAGCCCAGTACCCACGAGAAAGGAACAAACAAGCATCTTGGGAGCCAGCACGTGTCTGCTCCATCCTCCCTCAGTTCCAGGAGCTGAGCCCTTTGACCCGATGATCACGTCTCCATCTTCCTAGTTCCTCTGTGAGGAGTCCTTCGGGGCACTTGTGTCCAAAGGGTTACTTCAAGGGATTCCTTGACCTGCCATGGAAACCCCAGTGGGGTCCGATGGACACACCGGCCTCAGATGGGCTGTGATAACAGGAGCGTTCTTGCCCTCTGGCCATCAGTCTTGGCTGCGTGAACTTTGGATTGTGCACTCTGACGTTGGAAGTCACTTGTTCACTTCCCTCGGCATCTCTTGTTTAAGTGATTCAAATAGCTGTGCAGACCCTACTGAGCTCACCTCCCTCCACAGAAGCGTCCTGTTAACGTCTGTGCTGGTCTCACTGCTGCTGTGCCATGGTTCTTGAATAATATTTGATGTCAGTGTCAAAAAGAATCCTGGCCAACAGCGGCCAAAAAATCATTTGAAGACCTGCTTTCCTTAAAGCTGCATCTGCAGGATCATTGATGGTACTGAAGATGAGCGACGTCACATTCTCGTTTGAGCTCTGACCTCTCTCCTGCGTGTGTCTGGGCTGTCTGCAGGACCGGTGCGCCTGGTGTCTGGCCTGGAGGGCGGCAGCGTGTGATTAGTTGGGGTGACAGCGTTCATGCTCTTCCTGGGAGGCCTTGAGCCTTCCTATTCTCGTTACTAAGGAAAAATTTTAATGTGGTGAAATATACACATTATAAAACGTGTGTCTGAACCAGGGGAGGTGCTCACCTCAGCGGCATCAAGCACATTCGCGCTGCACAGCTGTCCCCACCCTCCAGCTCCAGAACTTTCTCCACTTCCCCAACTGAACCCTGCCCCTGGTAAGCACTGTTCTGCCTCACGCTCTTTAAAACACAGTGGTCTCTAACATGGCACTTTCTGCTTCTGTTTTCCTGAAGGGAAAAGGAGATTTTTGACAACCAGCTCCTGGAAGAGAGAAGCCGGAGGTGCTGATGTGGACGCGGCTCGCGTGTCCGCTTTGGGTTGTCTTTGTCCTTCTCACCGCATCTTCAGCTCCCGCTTGCTGGGCTCCGAGGAGCTGTTTCCTCAACTCCCTGAGAGCCAGTTCCCTTTTCCTCACTTGCTTCGGGAAGGTATAGTTCCTGGGAGGCTTTTAAAGGACAGAAAGGCATTCGTTTATTTCATATTTTTCTATCACTACTTGTAACTGTACTGTATGGTTTATTATAAAGTATGCTCTTTTTTTTTTAACATTGAAAAGCATTGTACACAATATTAAACGGGAGTTTGGAAAAGAACGTGATGGGAACATTGGGGTGCTTCTGGTCCCGTTTGCGTGGCTTGCTCCTGAGGTGACATCCACGTGTGCTGTGCTGCTTCCTCTCTGCCACTTTGGGCAATCTAATCCAAAAACAAACGGAAGACCAGCTGCTTCCCCACTCCTCAGCCCTGCTGTGGCTGCCTGGGCGGCTGCTGCTCGGTTCCCTGTGGCCGGAGTCAGCTCCCCACCCCCAGGCGCCTTCGCCTGACTTCGCCTGATCCACGCTGGGTGCCGAGCCTGCTGAGAGCTGTGTAAAGGCCGTGACTCAGCCTCACGGCCTGTTCTCAGACCACAGTCGTGGAAATTCTGTCAAAGCCACGCCCCAGTTGGGCTAGCTGGTGTGGAAATAACGTTTTGTGGAAGTATATGTTTAAGTTCATCTTAAGACACTGCCCCTTCACTTCTGCTGTGACTGCACGGTGACGTTTGGGTGGGTTAGCGCGCCCCGCCATGACTGGACAAGTCGTTACGGGGACGAGCGCTTTCATGTCCCCTCACCGACTGCAGCCTCCACAGAGGGAGATTACCATGGACTACAGGTGAATTGAAGAGCAGGGCAGGCTGGCAGGCTGCTGACGCATGGCTCCCAGAGCCCGGTGTTCCTGCGTTGATTGCGCTGAGCGCCAGGGACGGGCAGCCCAGACCCTGCCTGGCCCAGCTGTTTGCCTTGCCCTGCTGCCGTCCTTCCCAGGCGTCCCCTCTGGGTTTCTGGGTTGGGCTCCAGGGGAGGGGCCGCACTTGCTGCAATGGCTGCCCGCTGCGCCCAGAGAGCAGTGGCACTTCAGAGGGCAGTGGCGCCATGTCTGGTGGAGCAGCTGGCCTGTGAGGGCCATTCTCCCCGGGACAGAGAGTACCTCCTCCCGAGGACAGGCCTGCCCCAGGGGTCCCTGAGGCTGGTTCCCACCAGCGCGCTGCATCTGAGCGAGCTTGCGCACCCAGGCTTTCTCTTGGGTGAGGAGATTCGGCCGGCCCCATGGCCTGTGGGAATGACTCTTCCTGTGAATGGGGTATTTCTATGTCTGTTTCTTTGCTGTTCTTTCCCGTTCTCCAGCTTGGACTGTGGCATTGAACTCTACAGACTGGAATTAAATGTCGTTTTAGAGCTCTAGCTGTGCTTTCTGAACCCCGCCTGCCCCCTCCAAGGCGACATGCCTGCACAGGATGCCCTGTCCGGGTGCCTGTTTAAGGTGTTACCTCATGGGCCATTGCAGAGCGGACCTCTGTCAGCTGTGTGGCTCCTACCCCACACCTGTCTGGCACCCTGCTCTGTGTTAGCCTGGCTGTGTGATGTTTTTGTGGGTTCTGAAGATTTGTCTTAAAACTCTGGCCGGAGGCCACTGGGGCAATTTGGCGGGGAAGGGAGGGTGGTCTGTTGACACTCCAAGGTGTCAGCTGGCCTTACAGCTGGGTTACAGTCGGAGCCTGGCTGCCTGCCAGATGAGGAGTTACCTGCAAGTGCCCGGGAGGAGTCCAAGCCCCCTGGGAAGCTGCTGGCTGCTTGTGAAGCTCCCAGGACACAGATTTCACCCAGCCCCTGTGGGGTGGCCTGGGCACATGTCATAGAGAAGGCTGCCCTGATCATCCCCCCTGGCTACCGACCCTGTGTCCCTGAAACAGGGCCCCCTCAGCGCAGCTGGCATTGACATTGACGCCTGGTTTCCTGGGGTGTACGCTGGGCTCTGTGGGGACTGAGTAGCATTCCTGAGGTCCCACTCCCTTGATGCAGAGCCTCCCATTCAGAAGCAGCAGCTGTCACCTGCCCTGCAGGAAGGTGGGCTCGCTTCTAGCCGGTGTCCTCTGGCAGCCTCTCCACTGCCTCTTGTCCTGTCCCTCACTGACCTCTGCCCATTCAACCCCTGACCTCAGGGGTGTTTTCCCTAGTCTGAGCCCTCTGGCGCCCAGAACAATCAAACCCCCCTAACTGAAGCAGTATCTGTCAGCAGAACTTCTTCCTGGAAGGGGGGTTCCGGTGCATGCTGGCTGCTCCCCACCTGCCCTTTCCTCCTCTTTGCGGTGTGTGCAGCTTTTCTCTGAAACTGATAAGGAAAAATATTACTGGACAAATAAATACAATAAAGGTCCCCCCAGAGGGGTGCCTTCAGGCCTGGTGCAGTTAAACATTTCAGTGTAGGCGCAACTCGCAAACTTGCTTACAGGCAGAGATCCCTGGCCAGTCTGAGGACTGGAGTTAAATTTCCAAGTCAGGTAACGTCGGATGGGCCTGTCTCCTTCGAGTAATCCGAGGGAGGGTTCAGTCCTCCCACTGTTCGCTCCCCTTCCCAGCCCACCAACGGTTTTGGCTGTTGTAAGACAATACCAGTCTGTGCAACCAACGTTGGCCAGTATGTGTAAAAGTGGCCTGTCTTTGGTCTGGGCCCAGGCTTCGACCTGGGTCTGTGCCTGCGCCTGCGAGCACAGCGCTGTACCTGACGTCACCATTCCTAAGCCAGCTTGTCTTTTCCATGCCCCAGAGTAAATCCAGATTTCTGCTACAAGACTATTCAAAAATGCAAAGTTTATTTAAGTTAAAAAGAAAAACGCCAGCTGTTGAGCAGGGGTTTCTGATTACTGTCCAACATGCTGTAAGTTTGCTCTCCTGTGTGTGGCCCCCTTGTCACCTGGGTGACATGTCCTGTGGTGGCCCCAAAGCCTTTGGCTCCTCAGGTACCAGGCCTGGCTTTCAGCGCTTGGTGAAGACTGGACAGTTGAGTGCATACTTACTCTGCCTGTGAGCCTCAGTTTCCTCTTGGGTAAATGGACAAAGCCGATACCAGGATGGTTGTCAAGGTTAAATGACGCACAGTGGAAAGTACTTTCGCAAACGCTTGCTAGTTTTGGTGTTCACTTAGCACTGCTTCCATCCAATCCAGCTGCTTAAAAGGAACCAGAAATGGGGCAGAAAGGAAAAGGCCAGGTTTGGGCTGGAATCCTACGGGCTTCGGGGCTAGGAATGTGAGCTGCTTCTGCCTGAGCCCTCCAAAATGCCGAGAACCAGCAGTCCCGCTCATCTGCAGGAGAGGGTGACATCTTGGGGCTGAGCTGTGAAAACACCGTATACCTGTGGCCGGAGATGAGAAGCTGGGCCAGTCCAAGGTGCCGAGACCAGGGTCAAACGCGGAGTCCGCAGTCGTCAGTTTGAGGCTCCCTTAGCTGAGCTATTTCGGGTTGTCAGAGAGCGGTCCTCAGCCCGAGCCACGCGGTGCGTCTGTTGCTCCACCAACCGGCTTGTGTAACGTGCTCGGCGGGGGCAGGCCAACTATGTAGGTCTGCGCTGGGGCTGCAGCCACAGCGTCGTCTCTGTGGCGCAATCGGTTAGCGCGTTCGGCTGTTAACCGAAAGGTTGGTGGTTCGAGCCCACCCAGGGACGCGGATGGTTTTTATTCCCCGGGAAGAGGAAGCAGGGCTTCTGCTTTTGCTGACGCGCTTCCCACGCGTCCCCGAGCCGCCGAGTCCTTTACGGCGCTGCGCGGCGGCGCAGAGACGGGTCCTCGTCTGGAGGACAGTCACGGAAGCGGAACGGCCTGGCGGGCGGTTTCTGCGCCCCAGCCGAGCCGCTTTGGGCGACGGCCCCGGGAGCCGGGCGCTAAAGCGGACGGACCTCAGAGGTTGTCTGAAGGCCGAGGCCAAGATGGCGGCGCTGGCGGGTGAGCGGTCGGGGACCCCGGGGGGGCTCTCTCGGGCTCTGCGCGGTCTGCGGCGCTCGGGTTCCGCGTTCTGCGTGCTGCAGAGATACGGGGGCCCGGCAGTACGAGCGCCCGGCGGGGTCCGGGGTGCGGCCGCCAATGCACCTGGGGGACAGCGCGGGCGCTGTGCCCTCGGCGGGCGAGAAAAATGTCCTGAGGGGCGAGGTCCGCCGGCCACGCGGCGCGGGCGCGCTCGCCCCCTCGCAGGATACGGCCCCTCGCAGGGCAGGTGCCCCAGCCCGGCCCGCCCCGCGATCTTTCTCCTTGGGTTAGGCGATTTGAGACTCAGAGTACAACGCAGAGATTGTAAAGAAAATTGGCTTGTAGACAGGGGCAGCTGTCGAAGTGTTTGAAAATCGCGTCGCTGAGTCAGTCACCCAGGTGTTTCACTGTCAGGACGCCGCGATATGCCCAGTTCCAGTTGCTACTGTCATTTTGAATGAAGGAGGAACGGACATTTTGCTTTCCTTCGAAATGTCTGCAGCTTCTGACTGGGCTAAGAGACACCGTAATTCCTGTTGGTAAGAAGCCACCGGTCCTGTTAATACTGCTAGTTGTTGGCTCCACGCAGAATTGAAGGAAAAGTAAAATTTCCTAGAATCTGTTGCTGACAACAGAGAAAGAGCAACTTTCTCTCCCATGCCAGTTCCACCGGGTTACTAATTCTCACCTGCAGCCTGTTAAGAATGCATGAACCTGAGGCCTTTGAATCCCCTTCACCTCAGAGGTGAGGGACATTTATTTTGCTGTGAGTTTATCCAAAGACCTAAATTTCAGGTGGGGACACAGGCTGAGAGAGGGACAGCTCAGATGGGAGACTGAAGTTTGCTTGTGTGCCCAGCCTAGAACATGCCAAAAAGGAGGTGTCAAGATTAGGTGCAGGGCCTCCCTGGTGGCCCAGGGGTCAAACTCAGTGCTTTCACCAGCCACTGAGTTCGATCCCTGGCCAGGGAGGGACCCACAAGTCTCAACAGACCTCTCCTGTCTCCTGGCTGCTCCCCTCAGGGGTGGATTTCAGTAGATCCACCTGTTCTGCTCCCACTCTCCCTCTGGTGAATTCTTACCCCGCCCCCGCCAAATCTCTGGCTTATACCCCAATTCTTGTATGTATAAATAAATACATCTTTTTAAAAGATATATAAATAAATGCATCTATACATACAAGAACTAGGGTACAGGCCAGAAGTGCAGGGGGTGAGAGGGCTCATCAGAGACAGTGGGGAGCAGAACAGGCAGATTGACAAAAACACAGTGCTGAGGGGAGCAGCTGGGAGTCAGGAGGGGTCTGCTCTGCCGTGTGGGTCACTCCCTGGCCGGGGATCAAACTGCTGCAGGGGCTGCAGCCAGCTTCACAGTGCTGCACTTCAACCCCCTTGTGCACCAGGGAGACCCCAGAAAAATAAATCTTGAAAAAAAAAAGATCTGGTGTATTGGATGAGGCCCTAGGAGACAGGTTCTGCTTCCAAGTGCAGTCACTCTCTGAGGTGATAGGGTTAGGGTTTTGGGCCACCACATTCAGCTTCTAGCAGTTCCATTATGGCCTGTTTCCCCCTTTACACAGGACTCTCACGCCCCCAGACCTTTTCCCCACCCCTTGACCCCTGTGCCTGGCAGTGCTTTGCTTGTGCGTCCTCTGGGAAAGGATCTCCAAGGAGGCCTCTCAAAGCCTTGTCTTCTGTGCTTCCCTTTCTGAGGTGCTTTGCTATGTACAATTCTGTGGACAGAATCAAGAGAGTTCAACCAGAGAGTCCTCAGAGGCAGGCTGTGTGACTGTGTCTGAAACCCAGGCTCTTCCAACTCAGTGCCTGGAGCCTTGCTGGGTTTGCTTACTTGTTGCGCACCTGTCAGGCTTGGCCAAGCCCAAGATGGACACTGGGAAATCCAGGAAGGCCCCAGTGTTACAGGGACTAGTGCAAGCCAGGTAACCCAGACACTTGAGCCAAAACTGCCCCAAGAGGATGACTGATGGTCTGCAAGTGGGGAGCAGGTACTGCAGGCAGACGTGGTGAGGGCCGGAGGGTGGCCCTGTGTGGTCTGACTTATTCCAGGGGTCATGGGGTTTTAAGCGGGGCAGCGACATTAGCTCATATTCAGAAAGACTGCTCTTTACCAAGTGTTTATTAAGTAGAATTTGAAATAGGTCAGGTGAGGACCCTGGTGGACAAACATGTAGGGAGTGGACCGTGACGGTGCAGGCCAGTCCAGGAATCCCGGCTTCTAACCCCTGCAACTCAGTTCCCACCCCTGTGGTTCTCTCTGCAGCTCCAGGCCTGCTCCGCCCGATCCTTGCGCTGCGGTGAGTGCCGGCCTCTGGGAGATACAGCTTGCAACTGGGAGGGTCCTTGAGCAGCACTCAGGGACGGAGGGCGGGCGTGGGAGATGCAGCGGAACAGGCGGACTGTCGCCCCGCAGTGGGGACAGTCTGGAAGTGGAGCCCCCAGGACCGTGTTGACGTGGACACGGCAGATCGAGTCTCCCTAGCGTGGGGTCTGGACGCTTGGAGGAGGGCTTGGGCCCGGGCTGACTTTTCGCTTTGTTTTGATGACTTTTTCCAACGTGTACAAAACCTGTTCACTGCGAAACTAGGGGAAATGGGGCGCGTGAGAGTAGTATGACACGAGAGCGGGCGCCTCTAGAGCGGGGTGCAGGCTTTCTGTGCAGGCCAGGTGGGGTGCGCGTTTGGCTTTGCAGGCCCGAAGTCAGCTGCGATTCCTTGACTGGCGCAGGTAGTGTGACGTGGCCACGTGGGGAGAAAACGGGTTGGCCCGAGCCAACAGATGCTCACGTACCGGGCAGCAGAGTGGGGCTGGCTTGTGGGCTCAGTGTCCCCACCCTGTCTTGACACCTTGGGGTACAGGGGCTCCTCTTCACGTGTGCTCTTTTTCTTTGCAGCTCGGGCCTGTGTGCAGCTCTGCAGGTGCATGGTGTGCATCAGAGTGCCACTGCCGATAGCCCCAGCAGGTGAGGCCACCTGCCGGGGAGCCCACACCCCCAGATGCCACCTTGGCACATCAGCCATGTCACTCCAGGTCCCCGCCCCCGCCACCCAGCGGAGCATTGCAGTGGGGTCCCCCCAGGAACCCTGCCCAGTCCCCTCCTGCACGTCCAGGCCCAGGCTACACATCTCTAAACCAGAAGGCCCTGCCTAGAGAGCAGCGGGGAGACCAGGGCGTGGGTGCGGGCCGAGCGGCGGCGTCCCCACCTTCCCGGCTCCCTGCCTAGCTGATGCCTGCCTGTAATGTGTCCTGTGCCAGCAGCCAGCCCGCCCTGCCCAAGACTGGAACCGTGGTCCCCAAGCCCACCACACTTCCCAGCAGCCGGGGCGAGTATGTGGTGGCCAAGCTGGATGATCTCGTCAACTGGGCCCGCCGGGTGAGTGCTGCGGCCCCCCGCCTGCAGGCCCCCCGCGCCCCCTGCCTGTGGAGCCGCGTGGAGTCACCCCTTCTGCGCAGCTCCTCGTCCTCGGCGGAGACGAGCCCCTTCGTTCTGTTCTCCCCGTTTTCTGTGCACGCCTCCTGACCACAATGATGTTTGTAGACGTAATGGCGCTGACAACAGTGGCTGTTTTCCGGCAGAAATGCCGTGACCCTCCCACCTCCAAGTCAGCCGCAGGTCGGCTCACTGCCTCCCCCTCCTCTGGCGTCCGCCCGCCTCCCTCCTCGTCATGCAGCGGCTCATCGCTGCTGCTCTGGCTCCATTTTGCTCTTCTGGGGGGCGCTGTTGCCTGGGTGCGCTGACTAATTCCTGTTGTCAGCCCCCGGCCTCAGCACCGGCTGGCTACAAGCGTCCGGGGATGCCTGCCAGGCCTGGGGATCTCAGGGTGGGCTGGGGGGCGGCGTCTAGTGTGATGTTTCTCATGAGACTGGAAATTGAGATTTTTCTGTTACATCACCTTGGCCGAGGCCCCGACCCCGGCCCCCCCCCAGCCGGGCTGACTGCTGCGTGCCCCCCAGAGCTCCATGTGGCCCATGACCTTCGGCCTGGCCTGCTGTGCCGTGGAGATGATGCACATGGCGGCGCCCCGCTACGACATGGACCGCTTCGGTGTGGTCTTCCGTGCCAGCCCCCGCCAGTCGGACGTGATGATCGTGGCCGGGACGCTCACCAACAAGATGGCGCCCGCCCTCCGCAAGGTGCGCCTGACTCCCGAGCCCCGCCTGCCCGCCTGTGCCAGGCCCGCTCGGCACACAGACCCGCCCTCTCTTCCAGGTGTATGACCAGATGCCAGAGCCGCGCTACGTGGTGTCCATGGGGAGGTGAGTGCCAGGTGAGGGCCGGTGGCCCCGCTGTCCGGGGGCTGGCACGCCTGCCGCGCACCAGCTCGGGTCCTGCAGCCCTGTTGCTTGGTTTCTCTCTGATCGCTTTTACCCGGGCCTGGCTCACACCAGTGGAGTCACACGCCGCCGGGGCATCACGAGTCCTTCGGCTGTGTCCATGCACGCGGCCCTCCCCCAAGCGTCCCCCGCCTGGTCCTCGCCGTCCCCCTCCTGTCCAGGCTGCCTGTGCTTTCGCTCTCGCTCGCTCTCAGCATGTCGCCGCGTCTCGCCCTGTGGGCCTGCGCTCTCACCTAGCTGGCCCAGACTGAGTCGTTGCCACACGTAGCTCAAGGCTGTTCAGTTGCTGGGATTGTTTAAGATGAACTTCACACTCCATAAAACTCACCCTTTTAAAGTATGTGATTTCTGCGGACGTCAGTGCATCACATGAGCTGAGAAGAAAACATACCTCGCTCCTAACCCTAGAGCACTCCCTCCCCGTCTGCAGCCCGGGCTCCGGGATCGCATCTGTCCGGCTCCGGCGGTCTTGCTGCCTGGCCGCGAAGGACCCGCGCGCGGACTTCCGCTTCCGCTTCCGCTGCAGCGTCTCCCCGCAGGAGCTTGCGGGCGCGAGCTGCCGGCGTCCCGCCTGCACCCACGGGGTCCCGGGTGGCTGCTGTCTTGCCTGTGGCTTGAGCGCAGGTTCTTGCCCTCTCTCACAGCCCGGCATGTGTTTACAGCTGGAGGCTGGGGCAAGCTAGGGGTGGCCCCGTGGGGGAGAGGGACGGGTGACGGGAGCTGCCCTCCTGTGCTGCCCTTCCAGCTGTGCCAACGGAGGCGGCTACTACCACTACTCCTACTCGGTCGTGCGGGGCTGCGACCGGATCGTGCCCGTGGACATCTACGTCCCAGGTAAGGTCCACGCCGGGCACAAGGCAGGCGGGCCTGCCTCACTCGTCCCTGTGGCACGGAGTGCCCGTGTGCCCCCCCGCCCCGCCCGGAAGGTGGGTTTCTAGGCTATGGACAAGTGAACTAGGCCAGGGGAAGAGTGACGCCCAGGCCTGGCCGGTCCAGGGCTGCGATCTCGCCCCGATGGGGCAGTCCCGCCAGAGGCCAGCTGGACCCTGTGGACCCGCTGGTTTCGGTCATTGTTAAGCTACGGTTTCATGTATTTGCACTTGACAGAAATAAAGCCCCGAAAGTGATGTAGAGACAGAAAATGGTTCCTGGGAACCAAGAATATTGTCCTTGACTTCGCATCCTCAGAACTGGTGGTGAGACTCCCTCAGACCTTGGCCTTGCCAGGGCACCAGATTTAGCAAGTGACAAGGCAGGGCCTGCAGTTCATTGTCCTTTTCTGAGCAAGACGTGTGCCGTTGGCATAATGTGTCCTGTGTGGCATTCGCACTCACTCCTGAAAGGCATCGGCGTGTGCCTAAAGTTCACCTCTGCTGGGCAGTCTTTTATGTGGCCTCCCTGTAAGATGACAGCCCCCACCGGGTGCACAGCCAGCCATCGACACTGGCCACCCAGGCATCACCCGGCTTGGGGTCAGGCAGGGGACGAGGCCCCAGTTCCGGCTGCCCTGGACTGCACTCTTACTGCAAGAGTAGAGAGCGTCACCCTGTGTCTCTGATTCCAAGACGTCCAAAACACTGTTGGCATCTCTCAAAAGGTGGAAAAATAGGTTTTCACTTTGGATTACAGAAGGTTGGAAAATGATTTTTAGCAGATATTCTGCAAATATCTGTTGTGTACCTTTTGCAGCCAGACCTGTCTCAGGTAGTTTAGCGAAGGATGCGTCATATGTTGGGAGCGGCCCCACAGGAGTGGGGAGACAGTCCTGGCACAGACATGCCCTTTCCTGCCTGGTGTGGGGTGAGGAGAGGCAGGAGCACCCCTTGATTACCCAGCCACTGTAGCAGCCCTTGCCGTCAGGCCCTGGGCACGTCGCTTGTGCAGGTGGCGTGGCCTCTGCTTCTCCAGCTGGGCTACTGGGAACAGGGGCGACGGGGGGGTCATTCCTCCTGGGAGGTTCCCTGCTCAGTCTCCACATCCACCCTGGCCACTCTGTTCCCTCGTCTCCCCCGTCTCCCTCCTTTCCAAGGGCTCATTCCACAGGCCAGTGTGGCCTCTGGGGTCAGCCTCAGCTTCTCCCAGCACTTCCCAGGTCACTATGGGGGCTGGGGGACGGTGGACAAAGCAGCTCAGACCCGGGGCAGCCTGGGCCTCTCCGCCGCCCACATTTTGTGTAAGAGGTCAGTCCTGAGGTCACCCGCCAGGGCCCCACGGGGAGGGTGGGGTGTCGGTTTCGGAATCCAGTCGCTGCTGGATGAGTCCCAGGGCTATGGACTTGCGTCCCCATGGGCCTGGAGACCCGGAGACTGAGGCGACCCCACCCACAGGCTGCCCGCCCACAGCCGAGGCCCTGCTCTATGGCATCCTGCAGCTACAGAAGAAGATCAAGCGCGAGAAGAGGCTGAAGATCTGGTATCGCAGGTAGTGCCTTCAGCCGGCCACCCCACGAGCGTGTCGTCATTTCAACATGGTCAATAAACCTAGCAGACCCAGCCTGGCGCTGCCCGCCTGTATGTGGGAGGGCCCGGCGGGAGAGGGGCCTGTCGAGGGGGCGCGGACTAGTCAGCTGGGTCATTCTTCCCGGTGCGTGGAGCTCAGGCCCCGACGGCAGCCACGTAGCACGGGCCAGTGTGACGCCACCGAAGGGGCAGCAGGTGGAGCGCCAGCAGAGGGCGGGGAGTGGGCTACCTGGGGCAGATGGAACCAGGTTTTTCCAGGTCAGAGGGGGCGAGGCTGCCGCTGCCCGGCGCTGTGTCAGCAGCAGGCAGACCTGGCAGTGTGGCTGTGGACCTGACACTTCCAGGGGTCGAGAGGGTCCTGGGGAGGCCAGGCTCCTAAAGAGGGGTGACCGATAGAAAGATTTGGCTTTCATTTTGTGGTTCTGCCTGCTGGGCAAGCCCAGAGATACCCCACCACCTGGGGATCTGGACTTGGGGCCCCAACTCTGTGTGGGCCCAACCTAGAGGGAGCCAGGGTGGGTCGTTCCCATGGACCCAATGGGCAGGTCCTGGCTGCCTGGCAGGAAGGGGGTCCCGGCAGGCTCAGCAACACCCCAGCAGGCTTGGCGTGTCTTTTTTTCTTGGTGTTCAGAAGACCAGGAAGAGTAAATAAAGTTGGCAACGAGCCCAGTATTAGCGTTTATTTCATCCTCTAGAATCCAGACGGGAGCTGTAGAGGTTAGGGGGCTCTGCCCACACAGTGGCGGACCCGCGTTGGACACGGGGTACGGTGGCCGGAGGCTCACTCCAGCCGCAAAGGCACTTAGTGGGGGGCGGGGGCTCCCGAAGCCTGAGGGAGGCCGGGCGCTGAACTGAGGCCGGGCTCAGTGCTTGGTGACCAGGGGAGTGATCATCCACGGGCAGGAGTAGTAGCGGCAGTCAGCCGGAGGCTCCAGCTCCATCACCTGCTGGCCGATGTCCTCCCGCCTGAAGCCCGCCTCCAGCAGGGCCGGCACCTGTGTCTCCTGGGGAGGGCCGCGCCTGTCAGTGCTGGGGCCCTGGCGTGGGCAGGACCTGCAGCAGCCCCCACCGGGTCCATCTGCCCACGGAGAATGGAAGCCCAAGCTTCTGGGAGTCTCGAGGTGCTGGCACCTTCCCGGCTGTCACCACATGTCACTAAGGTGAGAGGTCAAGCCCACACCTTGCCAGCGTGGCCAGCGCGGAATCGGGGCAGGAAAAGTGTGGCTGTGGATTCACACGTCGGAAAGGAAGCTCTCACTTAGTCCCTTCCCGGCCGTACCTCAAACATGGTGGTGATGTCAGAGTACTTGGCCTTCATCAGCTCGCCCCAGGAGGTGAGGTTACAGTAGGTGAGGATGCCCCCTGGCTTCAGCAGGCGGAAGGCGTGGCCCTGGGCGGGACAGCAGGCCGAGGGAGGGTGACGGAGAAGGAAAGAGGCCTGGGTGGGAGGCAGACGCCCCGCTTGCTCGCCCCGGCCCCACCTGGCCTGCTCCTACCTTGATGAAGTCGAACTGGTGCGTGTGCCAGGTCTCCTCAGACAGCGGGTATGTGTCGTACAGGATACCTGCACAGGAGCACAGACGCCATACTCGGGCAGGGCTCACTGCCCGTGGGGACGGGGACCCCGGGGGCGGCCCTTGCGTTCCTTGAGCTGCACTGGCCCAGGGTCTTGTGCAGTCCATGTAGTCGGGGTGTGCTGCCCCCTGCTGCGCGCCAGCCTGTGTGTGTGTCCCCTGCCCCAAGGCTGTCACCCAGGTGGCACTACAGGCCTTCGTTCTTCCACAAGGCAGAGGCCTCCCTTTTCCGCTCCCATCATCTCCTCACCGTCAAAGTGCCCATCTGGCAGGGTGGGTGCCACCTCTTCCCACAGGCCCTTCAAGGGAACCACCTTGGGATGGGAGAACAGAGAAGGCTAAGTGTCAGAGGGGCCCCGGGGCTCCCCACCTGCTGCGAGGGAGGAGACAGGCCATCCCAAGGGAGAAAACCCTCCCAGAGCTCTGTGGTGGCCCCAGGCAAGCCCTCAGGGGCACGGCTTCTGACCCAGGAGTGGGTTGAGGGGCAGGCGGGCACCTCGTGTGGCTGAACCCGGGCCCAGTCCTGCAGACGCTGGAAGACGCCGTCATTGCACTCGATGATCCAGTGCTCCTCGATGCTTGCCTCCTGCACTTTGGAGGCCGCGATGGCCATGCCAAAGCCCACCTCCAGCACCCGGCCCCCTGGGCAGAGAAAGGGTGGCACTAGGGAGACGCCTGTAGGAGGGGGTGCAGGATAGGGCCTGGACAGAGAACCACTTGCTACAAGGCTGGCAAGGGCACAGTATGCCGCAGGCAGAGGTGGACAGTAGGAGGGAACACAGCAGACTTGAGAGGTCACTGTGGGCCCTGGCTTCTGGCCAGAGAGGGTGGCAGGCTGGAGAGGCCTGGTTGGGGGGGGCTGCCGGGGGTGGGGGTGGGGGACGCAGATCCTTGGACTTTGACCCTGGCCCTTGTTTTTTGCAAGAGAGTAGCTTATCTCATTCAGTTACTTTCCTCCTCTGGCCCTCCCCACAATGAAGTTCTCAGACAGCTAAGGGAGGACTAGGACTCAGGCCAGGGCCTGGAATGATCTGAGGGGAGGAGCTGGTCCCCACTGCACCACAGTTGGAGGCTCAGAGAAAAGCCACAACCCTCAGGGCCCTGCCCTGGCCACTGCCAGGCGGGAACACCAGGGCCCAGAGCACACCGGCCCCCTGGGGTTCCCAGCACCCCCAGGCCACTACCTCCTGCACTCAGGGCCACCCAGCAGCTGCTCCCAGCTTTGGTTTTCCCAGGGCTATTTTTAACCCGCAGAGCACAGCAGGCAGTTGCTTCCCCAAGACACCTCCCACCGTGCAGCACCCAGATGTTCGTTCCTTCTAAGGTCTGGGTCTGAAGACCCATCCCCAACTTAGCGGGAGCCCACCTAACGCCCACCTACGAGGCCAGGGCCTCATTCCCACAGGACGTTTCCATTTCTTAGGGGAACATATGGTGCACAAGTCCCGTGACCGCAGCACCCACCTCCCTGGCCTCACGCCCCAGCCCCTCTACTCTCCAGCTCCCCTCTAGCAGCCCCATTTGCCCGAGGAGGAAAGAGGGCACAGCAGCGGGTGTGGGCCCCCCATCTCCCCCTTCCTGAGCACCCATCCTCAGGCGACCCCCGCCCCGCGAGGGCCGAGGCTACCTTTGGAGGTAGCGGCGGCCGCCAGCGCGTGCATGTACGGAGTCTCCCAGCGCTCCATCACCGGCTTGCCCAGGATCTGCAGGTGCGTGTCGGAGGCATCGTAGGCTGCCGGCGCCGCCCGCCACGCGGAGCTGCAGTTCTCGCCCGGCGCAAAGATGGGGGTCGCGGCGGGGGCGCTCATACTGCGGGCTGGACTGCGCACCGGGGACTCCTCTGGACGCACCGGCTGTGTCCCTGCAGGGACTTGTGGGCCGGGGGGCGGTCGGGAGGCGGGTCCTGCAAGGGGCGGGTGGACCCACGAGATAGCGACTGCCGGGCAGCGGGAGCCGCCTCTAGTGGCCGTGGTGCGAAAAGCAGCCCGACGGGGGACGGGCAGTGGATCCTTGGGCGGCGCCCCCAGGGCCCGCACCTGCCTGTCCCTTGCTCATTCCTGCTATCAGGGCACTCCCCCCTCGCAGGCCTGAGAGCTCAGGGTTTCCCAGGCGCTGTTGGCAGTGCTTCAAGTCCTTAAAATCATGTCATCGTCAGAGAGGCCTCACTGCACCTCTGGGGAGCCTGGGCACCCCCAAGCCTTGTCAGCAGTCTCACCTACAGGAGGGGGCAGCTCAGAACTGTGACAGCACTCACCCAGGCCACCAGGCTAGGCCGCCTCTCCTGTCATAACTCACTCCCCCACCTCCCCAAGCTGGGGATCACCTGAAACCCCAAGATCCCGGTGGAGGGTTCATGCACACAGACTTTGCCCAAAATTGTGGGTGACCTTGATGCTATTTTAACATATTACAATGGCTAAAACAGGGCTCTCCCTGGTGGCACAATGGGTTAGAGCTCAGCACTATGAAGCTATCTGAAGCCACTGCAGCCCAAGTTCCACTCCTGGCCAGGGAGGTCACCCCCATGGCCGGCAGACACAGAACTGGGGTACAGACCAGAGGTGCAGGGGCATTGAGAGAACTCACCGAGACAGAGTGGGGAGCAGAACAGGCAGATGTACTGAAACACACTGCTGAGGGGAGCAGTAGGAAAGACAGGAGAGGTCTGCTGCACCCTGTGGGTCACTCTCGCGGTGAGGAACCGAACTTGTGCTGAAGCCGCTGTGCTAGCTTCTTTGTGGTGCTGTGCTGTAACCCCTTGCACCACCAGGGAGGGCCCCCTTTTTTCATGAAAACAAGGACTGGGGTATAAGCCAGCAGTGGGGATGGAATAGAGGGGGGCGGGGCAGTGAGAGGACTCTCCAGAGACAGAGTGGGAAGCCCACCAGGCAGACCTATTGAAACCCACTGCTGAGGGGAGCAGCAGGGAGACAGGAGGGGGCTGCTGTGCCCTGGGGATCCCTCCCTGGCTGGAGTTCCAACTCATGCGGCAATGGCTGGCCATACTTGATAGCACTGTCTTTAACCCCTGCACCACCAGGAAACTCCCAAATCCATTTTCATCACCTTGCTACCTGGCATGGGAGGGAGGGAGGAAGTGGGGAGGGGGAAAATAACTATCCAGTTATCTTTGGAAAGAGATAAGTGAACACGAAGAGATGCTAATAATGAGGTGGTTTCCCTGGCAGGTGCATGACAATTGTTATTTTATCCCTGGTAGGTGTCGTTTTTTAAAAATAAATTAGTTTAAGCACTTCATGTCTGGCTTCCTACCTTTGACCACATCCTGTGTGTCCTGCGCAGCCGTCACCAAGGATGGACGTGTGGTTTGTCTGACTTTTTCTATCTTATTGTGGGCTGAGGACCCGGGGCGTGTGTTTAGAGCCGTGGGTCAGCATTTGGGGGGCCACATTCCTCAAGGGGGTTGCTGAGCTTCCATCACTGGAAAAGAAACACTGCCCTGTCCCTTTCCCCTGGGCCTGCTCTGCGCATGCCCAACCTTCTCGTCTCCCCTTGCCTTGGAGGTGTTCAACCAGCTCCCCTGGGCCCCACAGGGAGCCGTCCTGCCAGGTGTTACTGATTTCCCTTGACTTGCAAACCTTTACTATGGCAGGGTGTATGAAGAAAGTCCCCAGTGGGAGGACAGGACACCTGCCACCCGTGGCCTCTTGTGGCCTCGAGTTTCCCAACTGCAAGTGGGGATTAGCAAGAAAGCCTCCTCTGTGGCCACGGATGAGGTAGGTGCCAACAGGTTTTGCAAACTCCACAGAGGTTGAAGTATATACACAGTTTTTTTTCTTTTAAAGATTTATTTATTTCCACATACAAGAACAGGGGTATAGGCCAGAGGTGGGGTGAGAGGATTCACTACACAGCCAAGAGCAGAATAGGCAGATCCACTGAAATCCACTGCTGACAGTAGCAGTCGGGAGACAGGAGAGGTCTGCTGTGACATGTGTGGGTCACTCCCTGGGGGGGGGATGGAACTCAGGCCACAGTCGCTGGCGATAGCTTGGAGGTGTTGAGATTTAAACCCCTCTGCCACCAGGGAGACCCTTGAAGTGTATTTTAAATGTTTGATTTTGTGCTTTGTGACCTAGTTCCATTTTTACATTAATTTATGATGATGAATAAATTACCGTATGAAGGGGTTGGGGGTGGGAAGTCACTAAGAAGTTCGGATCACATCACCAACTGACAAAAAAACGATACGAGTCAGCGATTTATTATCATCAGTGTCCACCTGTCCACCTTCTGCGTTGACAAGGGCGGACTATTCTTTGTGTTTGAGGCGGTGGGGGACCCGTACATCGCGACACCCCGGTCCCATTCGCTAGATGCCAGGATCATCCCATCCATAGTGGTGATGACCCAAACCACCCAATGCCCCCGCAGGGCTCACATCTGAGGGCAGAACAATGCGGGGCCCTAACAGGGACCCGGTTTCAAGATGACGGCATCTACCACTAACTGCTGGACTAGACTTCAGTTCCTCCTGAGTGACCTTGGGCAAATGACTGAGTCTGTGGCGCTGTGTCTTCTCGGCACAGAGGACAGCATGGGCGCTGGAGCACAGCGGGCGGCGACGCCTTCCGTGGCCCCCATCGGGGCCGGCTTGGCCTCCACGCACGGCCGACCCGCGCGCCACCACTGCTTGGGATTCAAGGTTGAACCCGGGAGCCTGCAGGCACGCGTGCGCCCGGCGTGCCAGCCCGGCGCGCCGAC